CGACGGGTACCGTTCAGTGACGTCACCCGTCGTCGGTCGACGAGCTCCGCACGCGCTCCTCTCGCGTCGTCGGTGCGTCGGCGACTGATCGCTGCGGGGCGCCTCCGGTCGGTCCGTCCGGGGAGCCCCCAGCCCCCGCGCCAGTTCCGTCCCACTATCAGCGCCCGACGCCGGCCTGACCGACGTCCGGCTGATGTCAAACTGACGTCCGGCTGATGTGGTTTGAGGTCCCGCAGAGCTGATGTGCGGAGGCTCACGAAACAAGGTCACCCGACAAGTTTGCAGGGGATGTGTTGCATTGCCGCAACTAAAAAAGCGTTCATCCGACAGAAGCAGTCCACGGTTCTGAATATAAATATTTGTAGGCGAAGGCCGATGATAGATGATAGGTACAGCTGCTGGGTATTCACCTTATCAGCATAAACGGGACGATGGCCAATTGCAAATAAGCTGTGACCGACATTTCCTCTCAGTCCGTTAGATCCACGCATATTGCTCTCTTTGAGTTCGCGCGGCAGCTTAGCGCAAATAATAAATTCGCACAAAACTTTTTTGCACACATACAGCAACAGCATTCATACAGCACGCAAACCGCCACACGGTGAAAATCTCGTCAGTTTTCAGCCATCACTCCGTCTATCTCCGTGTGTCGTATCATATTCCCCTATCATCACCGCTGACGTCCGACGCGACATCAGCGATCTGCGTCCCTAGCTGGCACGACCCAGCCTCACCACGACGGAGCCGTGACTGGGCACGTCTACAGATTCACGCTTGATTTGACCATTTTCGACGCAGTTCGGTCTGGCTTCCCAGGCGCCGGAGCCGCGCGAGGTGCGATCTGCAGGGAGATTTGGTGAGGTGTCGTGAGATTTGAGGGGAAAATTGAGGCTAGATGACGGTAAAATAATCTTCTGCAGGTGTCCGTGGCCCGAGAAAGAGCTGAGCTCGAAGAACCCATCAGAAAAGGTGAAATGGTGAGCGGTTGGATGAATGCAGCCATTAGGCCATTCTTCAGGACAACTTAAATTATGCAGCACCTATGTAACTGGGATTTCCTTTTTGACAATTAAAATTATCTTTTAACATCCAATGAACAGACTATGTAGGCGGACAGACTATGTCTGACTATCCAACAGACATACTATGTAGGCAAATAATTATAAAGCAAAGTAACACAAGCGAATCAGCGCTGCAGAAAAGACGGCTCGACTGATCCAGCCGCCGCTGTGGGCTGGGTGATATCAGTTGAGGAGCCGTGAAGAACCGGCTGGGGCCCGCCACAGATTAATAGCGAGCTGGGCGAGGGGGCAGGGGAGGGGGCAGCGGCGGGTGGTCTCCGAGATTAGTGTGGCCGGCGCGGCTCCAGCGGTGTGGCCCGGCGCGGATCCAGCGGGAGGGGGAGGGGCAGGGAGGGGCTCAGGGAGAGGATGTTGACCCTTCGCCGCCGCCGCCGCCGCCGCCGCCGCCGCTGCCATTTGCATACGAACAAGGCAGGCGGGCGAGCGAACAGCTGTTTGATACAAACCCGGCGCACGGGCAGGGGTGAAGCAGGACCGTTTGTCGTGATTTTAGACCATGACCGGGAGTGAGAGCGTATCCGTTTTTTTATCGAATGCGTAATTTATTCATGCAACTATAAGTGTGAAATCACCATACATAGGACAAGCTGCGCGAAAGGTATAGCGAACAAAGACGCGAAAGCATCGCAGAGGGACATGGTTTTCATATTGCTCCTAATCATCCGTGACTGGTCCAAGAGCGGGACGGTATTTCTTTCAACATACTCAACTTTGATGGGAAAAATATACCGCTCACATTCAGGCGTCCAAGAATATAACGTAGGTGATATTACTGCAAGCCTTTCTCGTGTCAGTTGCAATAGCGATTTACTTAAACCCGAGATTCAGGCTGACTGTATGCAGCGTATGTACATAATTCGTCATCAAAAAGACGTCCGGAGACAAATCGTCTAGTCTAGTATGCACCATATGTAAGTGTCCTCCGACACGACGGTGGCTGACATTCAGCATCTCTGACAGGTGTCTAACTATAGATATTTTTGACAGGGAGTAATTGGGTCTGCTGAGCAAACTCGAGATGCATCAAACGATATAATTGGACTTTCGCGCGATTTGAGCGTGCGCTGCGAATTCCACGAGATCCGCACTCCGCGGAGACTGGTCGCCGACACTGACGAGTGACACTTTGACATCTGTGTTCAGGAGTTTTGGCATTGAGTGTCTCATGTTTTAGTTGTCATCGAGGTCGTTGGTGGAGGGGATGGATAGGGACGGTCAAAGTAGATGGAGTACACGGCGTCTATTTCTGTCGCGAGGAAGAGGTCGTCCCTGCGGCTGTCACCAGCCAAGTGTCCTTTGGAGCCGCGCCTGGCCTTCCTCCAGGTCGTGTCAAACCTCTGTCGCCACTTCCCTGCCGTTCGTGTTATTTCCTCTACGTTCTCCTACTACCCGGAATCACCCCGCTTGTATACCTGCCAAAGCAAAACAGTAACTTTCGGGAAACTCTTGAAGCACGTGGCAACAACCGTCGCTTCAGAGACCACCCTGTCGGACTGTCAGTGATGCGCGGCTGTCTAACCCTCCTATTGCGTCAGAAGAGGCGACCCCACGTCCGCCCCTCCCACCACGACCCCAGCCCCACCCAACCCCACCTCAGACCCAGCCAAACCGCCCAGTTCTCGGAGCCTTCCCTGTCCTGTCGGCAACATCAGTCGACCGTCCGCGCCGGCGGGTGATGGGTAGGTAGGTGCACGACGGTGGCGGCTGGGCAGGTCGCCACCCCCTCCGACAGCGGGGCTGGCACCGTCTCCACCTCTGACGTCAAACGCCGCCCAAACAGCACCCTCGCCGCTGGCGGCGTCATCGCGCGGGCGTCATCCTCGTCATCAGGTGTCATCGGAACCATCAGGCGCGGAGGAGGACGTGCGGCAGCGACGGACTGCTCCGGTCTCCGGCGCCACACGGACAGGACAGAAGAGTACGCGGTCGCCCACATCCCACCTATAGTTAGCTCGGTGATATGACGGCGCTAAGAGAGATGGCTTATTCTTGGCAGGGCTGCGGGCGGCACGATGGGGCGGCGGGGCGGTGGAGCCTCTCCGTTCCTGGCGTGTAGCCGCGCCGCTGTCTGGGGACCCGTGGACGGTGAAACAGGTAGTCACGCACCACCGGGTCCCTGACAAAGGTCACCGGGGAGACGACTGCCAACGGAAGCCGGCCGCGGACGGAGCCGGAGCCCCGATAGGACGACCCGCAGGGCTGACACACCTGTCCAGGCCCTTACGGTGGCGTCTGGGTGTCGCAAGTGTAATTCGGTTTTATGGAGAGGTATGGGTCCGCTCGCTGCGGCTGGATAGTGGTCAAGTTAGGACAGATGAGATACAAGATAACAAATTAACAACTTTGGACGAAGCCAATAAATAGGCGATTTCCAGGTTCGGTCATTTTTAGAAGTCTTCAAAGCCAACATATCCCAAAACTTTCTCGATGAGAACAACAAGAGCGAAAAAAGAAGTCAAGCAAGGCAACGCACGCCAGTGTATGGTGAATTCAAGCTCGACACTTTTACTGCATCACTTTCCAGCAGCAGTTGTTCCCACATTGGTTGGAGACAACACCGCTCAATCAGATGGTAGTTTAGTGGTGAGTGTGGTATAGTGTAACCGAGACAGGTCACAACCGGTGGATTTTCCAGTCCTCGGACACGCATACGGAAAAGTGAAACCAAAGGGACGGCCGCAGCCAACCGACAGCCCCCTGGCCATATTTCAGATTTTCAACTGCACTGCAGGCAGGAGAGATGAGTGACCACTGGACACTGACCATGCACCATCAGCAACGTCGAGCAGGCAGGAGGTTTTCATGGTTGGTGGGAGCTACGATAGATGCTTGTGAGGCAAAAACGAGAGGAAATACGTCAATACTAGCTCGGTAATTCGCATATCCTGATGATCTGCCGGGCGTGAACACAATCATATGTTGGCCACTGCACTTACCAGTGACCCTAGAATACACTTATTCTCGTCAAAAGATGAGCCAGCTCCCACGAAATAAGTGCATTTCGGGTGTACATGAGCCTGAAAGATCGCAAGATTTACGAAGCAAAGCTGCAGAAGTCCTAACGGGACACCAGATGCCGGTTTGGGGGAGGATGTGGGGTCTGTGTCCTCCAGTGGCGGTGAAGTTAGGCCCGTGACCCCTCCCCTATCCCCCTCTCTCCCTCTCTCCCACCGAGCTGAGACCCTGCCAGCTCTCCGCACACGCACTGGCCCGCGAGCACTGACGCGGACCGAAATAGAAATCCACAATTTTAGCCGACAGAGGTCGACCAGAAAACGTCACGGGCTCACAGTGAGAGAAACCAGCGCACGAAACGGGACGACATGAGTGGATACATTTGACTTCATGCACCCTAATTCTAGTAAAGTTACATGCAAATTGTTGCTCTTGAAACTCAAATTGATTTAATAAAAACATCCACAGCTCAGCCCCCGATCAGTTATGATCACAATTCAGCATCCAGAAGAAATGCCTGCATAAGACGTTCTGCAACAATATTCAGTACGTACCTAGGCTGTCAGTATCGCATGAGCTGGAAGCGAAAGGGCCCTCAAGACATAGAGACAGAGGGCGAGCTTATGACGGCAATACTGGAAGCATTGGAAACCCCCATGACATTGTCGCGGAATTTCTCACGATCGGGCACTATCCCTTTGGAATCGGATATATCGACTTTATACGAGCATTTCAACCACTGCAGCCGGAGCTCTACAACTATCATCTGAAAATAGCTCTCTGATAGTGATACACACCCATATTGCTAGATGTGGACACTTCAGAAGAAACGTTTGACATTGTACTGAACGTGGGCTCGCCACTGGCCGTTAGCAGCAGAGGGGTCATATTGGGCACAATACCTACAATGTAAGAAAGAACCGGTCACGCTCGAAGGCAAGATAAGATAGAGTCAACACTCACCATCTCGCTGACGGAAAGACGAGGCACCGGTGTATTGAAGTCTTCCAGGACCTACGGAGAACGGTCTCAACGTCTAGCAAGATTCCTCAACTCAAAGCACACCGCATCTACCTTCTGAACGGCAGCGAAACACTCTTCCCCGCCGAACAAATCAGCTCAGTCCTGCCGCTACAGAAGCGCCGGCTCGCGGGCAGCTGGGAGCCTCAGCAAACACACCTGTGCGTCCGGCAGCTGAGCGTCACTGCCCCTCGCGTTCCCGGTCCGCTACCCTCTCCCCGGCAGCTGGCGCTACCTGTCCGACCTGGGCCGACCGAGTCAGACCTGCCTGCCATCTGTCGGACTGTCTGTAAGCTGGAGTACCGTTAAGCATACCTGCGGCTCACTGAGGTCCAGCTCCGCTATCAGGCAGATGGCAGGAACGTCGCGTTTGGACGGACTGAAGGTCTTCTCGCAAAGCGGTCCACATATGGCGCAGCCGGAGGAAGGTATGGAGGACTCTTGTAGTGACTGAGGCTTTCGGTGTGAATATACTCCAATGTGATGATTGAATAGTGAGGAGACTCCCATCGATCTGAAAAAAAAACTTTGAATTGTCTCCAAAGACGACTTTCGTCTCGTCGTACGGGTTCCCAGTGTCATGCAACAGTGATCGTATCATGTGCCCCTGCACCCTGTACTCCTTCCACAGCCCCTGCCTGAGCCCCTGCCCTGAGCCCCTGCCCTGAGCCCCTGCCCTGAGTCACTGTCCTGAGCCCCTGCCCTGAGCCCCTGCCCTGAGCAACTGCCTTGAGCCACTGTATTGAACCCCCTCTATTGAGCCTCTGCTCTGAGTCTCTGTCCTGAGCCTCTGCCCAAAACCCCTGCTCTGAGCTCTTCACCTAAGCTTGCGTAAAATTAAGCAAATATATCTAATATTACTCTGAGCAGGCGTTTAAATCACCTGAAAATATGATCTTGCGTCAGCTTGACATCAATTTAGTGGCCTGTCTGGCCAATGGCTTCAAAATCATGATCCTCTTACCTGCCGCCACTCAGACTGGATTTATCAATTTATCAACGTCATATCTTTTTCCGGATGAGCGACAGTGGCCTATCAAGTCGGTTTCCGGTCCAGCTGGACCGAATCAGTTGGCCGGCCGGAGGGGGAGGGGGGGGGGCTCGGGGGATGCACCACCCGTTTAATTCGGCCCGGCGCGGCCGGTCTATTTTGGACGAGTGCCGATCAGGCAATGGCAGCTTACGGGCCATCGGCGTCAAACTTTCCGTCTAGGAGCTCCCCGTGTGGGATGGCGAGAGACCTGCCGTGGGTGACCTGCCGACGAAAATGGAACGGCGCGATTTGTAGCAGTTGCCTAATGGTCGAACTGTTTGGAGAAGTTGATCCATGCGATAATCAATGGTGTATTTGAATATTGCAGCTATTTTGGGATTCGCATTGCTTTGTTTGACTTGGCTTGCTGATATTTCTGAGTAAAACTGACGGCGCTTTTCGTTACCTGTGGAAAACCCTGGGGTGGTATGAATCCTCCCCCCCCCCCCAGCCTGGCGAGGCTTAGTTTTGAAGTGTGCTCACTGGTAGCGATTGGCCATTGTCTTCGACAAACATGAGCGCGTCCCGTTCTTCCCGCTATTCCGATTTATGATTTGGATGACGACCGAAACCCAAAATAACTACCCAATGCCCTGCTTTGAAAACACTGATCCTGATTTCGTTTACCTTACCTCGCCATTTCATCACAAAGTTTATCTAAACTTGTATGTGCTGCCATTTTCAAGCAATACCCAGAAGCTGAAGCGTTTATGGCATAGTTGGCTCCTTCCCTTCGGGTGCTGTACAATATTCGCCAAGTTTGACTTCCGGCTGCGCAGCTATCGGCGGCGCCGCGCTGGGTGTTCGTCGTATAATAACGGCGCTTCATATTACTGGCAGGCAGCGTGTGGGGCGGCGCCGACAATCAGTGGCCATTCGCAGAACGTGTGACCACCGTCGCATTGGCCGGATATGTAGGAGCCGCGCGCTAATAAGGCGTGAATGTAATATTATAGCGCACTTCATCTAAGATAAATCTGCACTGTTGCCATGGACGCATGCTGAGAGTATCATGCTACTGCGCCCGTTTTCGCAACTAAGTTTTGATAGAGCATACAGTAAAAGAGGAGTTTTAAGCACAGCGCTATGAAACCTGCCCTAAGAATGATGCAAGTGAAATAGCTTATTATTGAATATACTGTTTAAAGTTACATAGATAAGCGTTCAACAGTCTTTTGTCTACTACAGCTCCTAATTACAGGTTAAAGTCTCAACGATATCCATACCGCCTTTGAGTTGTGCAATCTGTACGGTCGGCTGGGAAAACGAGTGACGTTTAATCAAAGTATTTTATAAATGTATGCGGTAACATTTCATTTAAAAAAGGGAAACAAGGAAGAGAGGCAAAAAAGGATTGCAAAAAGGCCATATTGACCAGGGGCTGAAATAATCCCTAAATTTTGGGCGGAAAAAGCAACGGTCGAATCGTTGTAGGCAAGTGCCTGAAATTCTTTAGGGTACTCAAAATAATAAAATTCTGAGAATGCAGTTGCAAGTCACACATTCTGTGCTATTCATGTTCTCTGCATTCATGTTCTCTGTAACAATCTCATGTTCTCCTTGGATATATGTAGACGACACATTTTTGTTTCCTTCTTTCCTGATGCACGTTACCATGCTGACTACGTTCAATGCCGAGCAGATGCATGCAGTGTTTTTGCAATAAAATGAGCTGTAGCTTCGTTTGCGCCCTGTGGCACATCAAGACTGAGATTATGGCTCAAGCGTCCCGTGCAACACCCATCAACTTCCCATCTCCAAACGGCAAATCAGTCAGCCGGCCAAGAACAGAAGCAGCAGCAGCAGCAGCAGCGGCGGCAGCAGCAGCGCCGACAGTAGCAGCAGCAGCAGCAGCAGCAGCAGCAGCAGCAGCGGCAGCAGTAGCAGCAGCAGCAGCAGCAGCAGCAGCAGACGCGGCGGTGCGGCCGATCGAAGGAGCCGTCGCAGCGCCGGCGCCGCCGCCGGGCCGGCCAGGTGAGCCGCTCGGCGCCGCGCCGGCAGCCCGCGCGCCGCCGACGTACAGTGGTCCGCCGCCGCCGCCGACTTGTTGCACGCTCCGCGGGCTGCCGGACGCACCATGCCCCATCCGGCCATGTTCAAACTGGGCAGCAGCGGCAGCCGCGCCGAGGGCAACCCCATCCTCAACATGTACGAGATGGGCAAACAGGTGGCCACGGCCGGCCCAGAGATGGTGTGGCGCATCCATGAGGGCCATCGGCAGAGCGACGGGAAGGTGAGTGCCGGCGCTCGCCACGGGAACTAGGAGGTGTGGGAAAGACATCTGTTGGCTGAGTTTGGTGCAGGAATAATGGGAGATGTGGTTGGTACAGAAAACATGACATTAAATGATGGTGTGACTTGTTGCTGAGTGTGATAATGTTTTAAATGCACCCCAAGTGCTCTGACAAATATGTTTCATTATCTATATCCTAATGTAATGCAGTTTTTGGTTCTGATGCTCATTTGTTGTCACAGCTTAACCTATTACCTAGCTCTCAGCTCAGGACCTGATGCTGTACTTGAGACGATTATATACTTTGTGGCCCTGCTGACATCTGAATGCACCGATCGAGCCGACGGCGGCGGCTGTAATCGCTTATCCGACAGTTATATTTGACAGCTGAGAGAGAAGTGGGAATGTAAGCGAGACGTTTTAATCAGGGCGAGATACGGCAACATCAAGATGGCTCGTGTGCATATTTTTAAGCATTATTTATTATTGCGTGGCACTTTTTTCAAAGTATAAGAGCTGAAAATCATGAAACCTCATGAACCTCATGAAAATTGAGCAGTTCTTTAAGGTGGGGCTATTCAAAAGCAGACTTCGAATCCCAGGGACAAATGACACTCTGTCGATGCTATGACGGTAATTAATCAAACAGCAATGGATTGACCGATTAGGAGTGGAGCGTGATTCAACTATCAGAAACAGTGAGCCATGGATAACTCAGTTGCTTACACTCTGGCCGTTCTGATGGCTGGTATCATTGACCAATGACCATGGACCCTTTTCATCCTTCTAAAATACGCACACGAAACTCCAAATCGCAAGCGAAATGTAAACGCCGTTTGAAAACATACTTTGCAAGCACCCAACTCATTACAAAATATTTTACAATATGAACAATAGCGCCGTAACACTGCATAAAAGAGTAAAAATCCCATAAAGGACATTGAATAAAAGAATCAAAAGCCCGGGAAGAATAACAAACGACTTGTGTCTGTTGCAAGCATCCTTACCTGAAGCAAGGAGCAGTCCCATCGGACTTATATATCAACATATCGCATTATAACTTATGCACGTTGAGGTAATGGCCCCTTTATTGCCATTTTATCACAACAAATCGACTCTAAAGTCGTTGGTACCGAGGCACTTTAGTTGGTTTGAGGTTCGCAGCCTGGCGAAGCGAAACGTCATTGCACACAAGAAACTACCGGAGGCTAATGCTTTCTCTCATGGCTAAACAGTCTGACGGGTTATTCGTGCTATGCTCTTTAAGCATGTTACAATATTTGCAACTTGACATCAATGATATAGTAGCGTATTTTGTTTTTGCTTTGAGAAAAAAAAACTTATAAGATAAGTACACATGAACGTATTAAACTGTTATGGTGATACAAATTAGTAGTTTTCATTCTTTTAATAGGATAGCGTCATTGATCACGAAGAGTTTCATAAATTTTCACAGCCCATATAACTAAACACTATCGGAACTTATTATTTGAATTTTACTTGAACGTGAATATCACCCATTTGAAAGTGAGAAATATCTTTCCCTTGACATTATGGATATAGATATATGGTTAGACAATGTAACTAAAATAATAATATATTTTTGACTTCATGACACTTCCTGAATGCAAACATTCTGTAGCACGTTCCGAAGGATCAATCAACCAAGTATGCACGGAGGTGAAGTGCTGGTGCAGTGCGTAATTGATCCGGACCGTCTCGCTCTCTGCCCGTTCCGATAGGGACGATCAATAGACCGCTATCTCGACTGATAGCCACATTATTGACCACCAGCCGCCGACGACTATGAACCGACAACGTATTACCGGGTATATGTGGACGCAACAGCGGAATGATGGACTTAATGGGCCAGAATAGATCTATCAAATATCATACAGGAACCCAAACGCTTAATAAATATAATTGCTATCAACCAGTAAAACGCCTTTTGGGCGAAGAACGAGCGAGCGAGATAGTGAGCCCTGCACGTGCGGAAGGGCGAGAGGGTGCTTCCAACGGGCTTGAACAAAGCACCCTTCTAACCGGTCGCTAGCGGTGGGCCAAATTTGAACGCAATCGGCCCAGCCGTTCCTGAGATCTGGAAGCGACATTCTGCACGTGCGCACGTGCAAACGGGGTCCAAAATGACTTTTGCACGGCACCCTACTAACTGGTCCCCAACCGTGTACCAAATTTGAGCGCAATCGGCCCAGCCGTTCTCGAGATCTGGAAACGCCCCCTGCAAGTGCGCACGTGCAGTAGCACCCTAACCGCAACACATGGGAATGCATTGCCTGGTGGGTGCCTACCTGTATGCCAAGTTTCAGCGAAATCGCCCCAGTAATTACCGAGTTACTGAAATGGGAACAAATTTGGCACCTCTTATTGTTGTATTTTGCACGTGCACTGGGGTGACCCACATACATCGAGAGTATCCTATTTTGGGTAGAAGGGATGCTGCTACCCTACAAAAATTACCGCAAGTCAATCGCCCAAGCGGCTGCTGAGATATGAGCCTCTCAAAATCACTACTTTTGCAAAACAGCTTGAACACCCTTGACTTTTCACGTGGCACGTGCCACGACGGTCACTGAGATGTATCAAAAGTAGTCAATTACGGGGTAGAAGGGATAAGGCTATCCAACAAAAAAGACCGCAGGCCAATCGGTCCAGCGGTTGCTGAGACATAAGCCTCTCAAAAGCGTTACAGGCCGGGCCGGGCCGGGCCAGGCCAGGCCGCTCATACTGAGATTTTTCCGTTATATTGAAAAGACTCACTTCGCTCGCTGCGCTCGCTCGCTCGTAATAATTTCAACGTTTTTTGCTAGAAAACTCATTGTTGGTTTTAGCGTTAGTCCCGAACTCCTATTCAAATGTTCACCAGTTGACGCGTCCTGACAATAAAAAATAGCACGCATGCTTTTGGTCCGCACCTATATTTTCGATACTTTATCGGTAAAACCGAGAGTTTCATTTTTAGACCATTGACCTGACCTGTGAAGCTGGTTGACAGGTCAGGTAAGAACTCCGCTCTACTTACAGTAAGATCCATTTGATTTCCGATTGACGAGAGAAGTACTCTCGTTTTTCTAAGTTCTAATTAATTTAGTGCCAAACGCGAGGGAGGCTCTTTGTGCGCAGGTGTCCATTACTGCTTAGTAGGAGTCTACATAGTACATATACAATACCTATGATCATATAAAAACTTATGCGGCAGATATGTAGGCCATCATATAAGCTCGGATGTGAAAACAATTAAAACTTGATCACTCTCAGTGTGCAAAGCCCACCTGGTTCAAGAGGGACCCTTTCAGATGGTAGTCTTGTTTTCTATACTGTCATTTCTAAGAAATTAGTTATAAAACTATCTAATAAATGATTGAAATGGAGAAGGTCGGAAGAACTCAATTGGCCTTAACCTTCAGCACTGTGTACACATTGTTTTAATTGACATATCTGAAACGTATCCCCCTTATCCACATCAGCCTGCTGTACTGTCACAATCCACTCACATTTACCACCTACATCGCGGCTGTCACTGGCACCACCGGCGAATCCAGCCGTCTCGCCGGCCGCACCGTTTAGCACTGAACCCTAACCTTATCGCGCATCGGACCGAATCCTGCACATGTGGGCTTCCCGACATTCAATTTCCGCAGAAATGGCCGCGTGCTCCTGTGGCCGCCTGAAAGGCGCCGCGCCTCGGAGCTGCTGAGTCCGATGGCGCCGATCTCAATCCTTCCGGGACTGCCGAGATCGGCCGGTAAAGACCTGGCTCGCATCGGTCACGGCCAACTCGGCCCGCCAGCTGCACCGGGTCGGTCCGTGGACCGGGCTGGTCCGCGGACCGGACCGGACCGGACGCACTGGACCACGGGTCGAGCTGGACGCGCTGAACGGACCACTCATATCGAAAGCCTCCCGCGTACCTACTGTGTACTGCGCAGCTCTTGACTAACCTTGCTTCGAAAGCAAGGTCAGATAAGAATTTTTGAAGACAAAATTCCGAAAATAAAAACGCTGAACATGTCTACCTTCCGGACACTACCCATCTCGCTCGCCTGCTTCAACTGACGTACGACTGCTGCCGAAAGTCTCTCAGGTTTGCTGTTGGGCTCGACGTATACATGACATGCTTGACATATCTAATTTCCCCTTCAAATTGCTACCATAGTGTGCTGGCCAGGGGTGTAGGATCGCAAAATAGGTTGGGGGGGCTGAACCCCGGACGCCGCGCCGGTGGGGCGGCGCCGAAAGGTGCTGAGCGGGAGGGGGGGAGGAAAAAACCAGCAGTGGAAATGTGTTGACCGAGGGGAGGGGAGGGAGCGTGGACCATGGTGGTGAAAAGCGGGTCTATGACTTGAGTGATATGACTTATTCTCTCCCCCTGGATCCAAGTTCAGGCTTATAAAATAAGGCGTAGGTATTTATATTCCGGCTCAACGTTTTGCAACCACATTTATGCAGTGTATGTTCCCGCTCTTTTCAAATGCAAAGTGATGCCACTAAAACGGTATATGTATGCTCTTCTTATACTTAAGGCTGATGAGAGATTCAATTTCTTGATTGATTCAGTATTTAGATTCCTATCCCCTAGTTTGGCAAACTGTTTTAGGGGTTCCTTGGAGGTGCCCCTGCAATTTCCTAAAATCTAGGTACTCATTTTTCACCAATCACCCACTTCATTTCGGAAGGGTCAAGTTTTTGTGTAAAGATTGTAGACTGTTTAATGGCTCCCTTTTGGCTGTTTCAGGGAACTCCTCGACTACTTCTAGGGCCACGATAGCGGTATCGACAAAGTAGGCGGATCGTGATCGGTAAAACAGGACAGTCACAGAACAATTTCTGTTGTAGTATTTCGCAAAAACCCCGCATTCTGCATATCATTGGAAGCATAATTTTGTTTTGTAAAGTTGTAGGTCGTGTAGCCACACGAATACTCCCAAGATGCACGAAACAATTGCAGGCACGTAGGGGAGACCCGGGAGGTATGGGCCGGT